CCCGGGTCCTGGAGCGCTCCCGCCGTCAGGTCTCTCGGCGGCCGTGCAGGCCCCTCAGGCCCCTTCGTGGCCGGCCCCGCTGCGGCGTGCGCAGGGTCCGACGCTCCAGACTCGGCGGCCGCGGTCGGTCGGGCCCCGCTTCAGGCTCTGCGATCCGGTCCCGGGGGACTCAGTGCTGCGCTACCACAGGTCTGCCTCGCTGGAGACTCCAAGGGCAAGAGCGAGCAGGGCGGCGGGGGAGGGGGAGCTCTGTGTGCATGCGAGTGCCTGCCTGTGTTTTTGTGTGCCTGTGTGTGCCTGTGTGTGGGCGCGCGCGCATCGGAGTGTGCGGACCTCTGTGCACACCCGGGATTGCATGCAATATGTGGAGTTGAGTAGGCGCGTCTCCAGGGACCTGGGTGTGTGTGCAAAGTCGCTTGCGTGTGCAGGTGCAATTCCGTGTGGGAAGGGAGTCATGCGTTTGTGTGACAGACACAGTTCTGTGAAATCTGTGGAAGACTGTGTGTGTGTCAGGGTGTACTGGAGAAAAGTGGGAGGGTGGTTGCAATGATTCTTGGGGGAGTTATAGGGGCAGAGACTCTGTGTGTAGCAGTGGGGTGTGTGGGTGACATGGATTATGGAAGTGTGAGAGCTGTGAATGTGTATGTGCTTAAGTGTGGGTGGAAGTGAGGGGGACTTCTGGGAGCCCTCGGTGTGGAGGGGCAGAGGAAAGCTTGGGGATACGGACTGCCTTCAGAAGGGTGAGCCTGGACAGTGAGTAATGAACAGGGCAGGTGTTTGGGGCCTGGCTTAAAGTATCAGGGAGCCCTAGTGTCGGGAACTGTGGGATGTGTGGGTGGGGCGGGGGGGGGCAGTGGGCCGGTTCTTGCTTCCGTGGAGGAGCTGCTACCTCGCCTTCCCTGGCCCCCCAGGCTCTGTGCTCACTCCTGCCGGGTGGCTCCCCTGGCTCCTGCGAGAACATGGTGCAGAAGTATCAGTCTCCTGTCCGCATCTACAAGTACCCATTCGAACTGGTTATGGCGGTGAGTGACCCTGATTCTCGGGCCCTTGCGTGACATGACTGGAGGATGCAGTGATGGCAGGGGGAGGAGTTCCTCAGACCCCTGGAGGAGAAGAAGTTATTCCACTACTCGGATGACCGGGGGAACAAGCGTCCTACCAGGGGTCTCTCCACGCAGCCGTCCCACCTGTCCCCCGCAACGGGACCCTTGCCCCCCAGCCAGATCACAGGTTGTCCTTCCTTTTCCTTGTTGCTGTGTGCACCTGCTCGTTCACCCCAGGCCCCTAGACAGAGTGCAAGGCTTTCAGGGGCCAAGCCTGGCGGCCATTCTGGCTGCCGGTCACAGTGACAGTAGCAGTGCAGAGGATGACGGCGTGCTCGTGGGGGGCCACGTGCCCTCTACATGCGTCGCACCTGATTTCCAATAGCTCAGAGTTCCCGCTTTACGATCACTGAACTGACAGCAGAAATGTAGCTCAGAAGAAGCGGAGCCCCCAGGGTCCTTCCACGCTCACGACACCCCCCCACCCCCCGGAGCGTAGGACCAGGAGGGCAGGGGGTGGAGGCAGAGTCTGGGTACAGTTATCTGCAGGGTAGTTGTGGACTGCCTGTGGGCAGCCAGTGGGTGGGGCTTAGAACTGATGCTTTCTGCACCCGTGGGCTTGGCACCTTGGGGGCTGGGCCAGTGTGGTTTTCCTTCTTGGTGCCATCAACTGCCCCTTGGAACCCCCTTTCCCTTCCTGGAAACAGGGGCCCACGATGAGGGGTGGGTGGACTGACGCGGGGCACCTCGGACTCAGCGCCAGGCACGCAGTAGGTGCTCCCTGAGTGCAGCTGTCCCTGTTGTTACCGACATGGTCTTATAAATGATCACACTGAGCGTGCGAGCACCCCTAGCGCCTACCCATCCGCCTCCCCGCCCCCCTGCTTCCGCGCGAGGACATCCATGTCAGTCACTGCCTGCCTCTCTACAAGTCTACACATATCTGTTTTCAGTCGCCTAAAGGATTAAAATCCATCACTTACACGCATCGTGTTGTACCTTGTAGGTGGTTCTAGGTCAGGAAAGGCGCAGGGGCTGGCCTGGGGTGGGCTGGACTCGCTGGGTGACCTTGGGCCAGTGACCCCACCTCACTGAGCCTCACTCCCTGTTTCTAAAATGGAGATCACATGGCTTCCAAATCGGGCGTCGTGCTGTGGACAAATGAATCAGTATATGTAAAGTTCCGGCGCAGATGGAGCGTCATTGCTGACATCGCTGCTGTTATTGTTGTTGCCTGTGGCTGTGTGACTCTCCTCATCTGTGATGGGGGGCCCGACTCAGGGGTGATGAAAGCCTGGGGAGAGCGGCCAAAAGGACTGTGTCCCTTGCTCTGGCTGTCTTTAGAAGGTCACGGGAGTTGTCTGCCTGGGGGTGTCTACATTTGTGAATTGGGGGTGCTTCTACACTCCTCATGAAGTTGTCATCTGTCCTAAGGACTAAAAGTGAGGATGTTTGGGGGGTACAGGGATGCCCGGCAAAAGGCTGGCCCATGCCAAGGAGATAATAAATAGCATCTAGAGTTAAATTTGCTTCGGTCTCCACCCGAGACTCCAGGCAGATCACCATTTTAAGACCCCAGGGCTCGCCCTTCCGTGCATCCATCCATCCACCCTCTCAACAGAAGAGACACGAGGTTCCAGGGCCCATGACTCTCTGTCATGAAGCCCAGGGAAGTGCCAACCGCACAGGAAACTCTTCTTCTCACATGGGTTTAATAAAGGTGAATCTAATCGAGCAGTTTAGGATTCAAGCACATTTATAACCACCGCACTATAAAATAAAACCCGCCTGCTAAGGGCAACTGTTTCTCAGCTTCACTGTCACCTGTCGGGGGTCTGTGAGGCAGGTGAGGACGCACCCAGCTCCATGAAGGCAGGCAGGCCTCAGTTTACCCCCTCGCTTTTCCACCCCTGGGTGTCGGCGCACAGAGGCTGGGGGCCAGGAGCAGCTGAAGCCTCGCAGAACTCAGCGTGGTCTGTGGGACCCCTTCCCCCCGGCATGCCCAAGGGACAGTGTGCCTGTCACCTGGCTGCCCCCAGCTCCTGCAGAGAGAGGCCACACACCCCAGCTGCTGCTGAAGCACTTTGCCGACTGTTTACAAAACACCACTGTCCCCAAAATAGCCGCCCAACTCCACATAACTTGCGCGCTGTGTGGGCACAGAAGGCGTTTCCGCACTTAATGTCCGTCTTTGTCTCTGCGCTGCGCCTTTGCCAGCTGGGGTCGGCCAACTCAGCCGTCTGCCTGCATCTGAGCAGCCCACAGGCTGCCTTTTTTTTTTTTTTTTTTTTCCTGTTTCACAAACTGCCTCGAGGATCAAAGCACAGCCCGCAGGACCCAAGCAGGTGAGGGCTGCCAGGTTCCTGGACTCAGCCACAAGGAGCACGAGGCAAGCTTTCTAGGGCCAGGTTCAGAATGATTTTCCGCCTTATTGTTCTTGGTCGTCAGAAATTTAATCTACAGACTGATGACTCCCTCCCTGGCCACGTCCCTGGGAGCTGATTCTCTCCCTGAAGGGTGACATTCCCGAGGTCCGCTTTCTTTGCTCTTGTCAGCTTTCTGAATTGTTTGGCTCCAAACAATGGCCTTGTATTAGCTTGGCAAACAGAGGACAATTCAGGCCATGGGGCAGCTGACTTCTCAAGACCAGGGAGCGTCTCTGGCCCCCTGGGTGGGGGTCCCCGAGGCTGTGGTGCCCGGTAGGACACAGGCTCTCCTGGATTATGCACTGGGTCACCCTTGGCCTGAAGGTCACCCTGTATTTTGAATGGATTCTCAAGATCTGGGCTTCCCGCCCACCAGGTGGCCCAGAGAATAGCGCTCACGAAGGCCCCGTCCCTGCGGTGTGGACACGAGCGCCAATCAGTTATTATTCCTCACTGTTTACAGCTCTGTTGAGCTGTGACTCACACACCACACAGCTGGCCCGGTTAAAGGGTACAGCCACAAGCATGGTTTTTAGTGTCCTACACCATCCTCATGCGACCATAAAATTGTATAGACATCTTTAGAATATTTTCTCACCCTGGAAAGAAATGCTGTGCCCTGAGCTCATCCCAGAGTCTCCCCACGCCCCCTTGGCCAACCATGAAGCTCTAAGTCTGTGTCTCATGTCAGTGGATTACTCTGGACATTTCACAGCAAGGGACTCGAGGTGCTCAGATCCTTTTAATAGCTGAATACTATCCCACCGCCGTAGACTATGTTTTGCTTAGCCGTTCATCGGCCGATGGACACGTAGGTGGTTTCCAGCTTTGGGCGGTGCCGAAGGCGCTGCTGTGAATCTACAGCACACGACGTCCCCACGGAGACACGCTCCCTCGAAGAAGCCTGCTGTGAGCGGTGTGCTGGCTCCTATGGGTTTAAGCAGGTTGTTTAAGAGTTGATCCTACTTCAAATTTCCCTTGACAAACACGTACACAGGACTCAGCCCGTGCCGGCCTCTGTTCTGAGCCGCTTCATTTATCTACCGAACTGTCACCCCAGGAGGGAGGTGCTGTGGGTGCCTGTCTGCCAAGGAGGAGGCTCAGCGGGTGGACGCGTTCCCCGGGGCCGCAGAGCAGCGTGGCCAGAGGTCCACTTCTGGGCGCCGGCGGGCCGGGCTCTGGGGGCCCTGGGACACAGCCCCCCCAAGGCCTCCGCCTGCCTGCCCCGGCAGCTCCTGGGCTTCTGGCTGCCGAGCACACTTCAGGCGGCCTGTCCCCGCATGAGCAAAGGTCCCTGCGGGCGGCACCAGTCTCTGGACTTACCAGTGCATCCCAGCGACCTCGCTTCCACTCTTTCTAACTAGGGCAGCGACTGGAGGCAGCTGGGTTAGGCCCCACAGGCATTTTGGGGGCGCAGAGCCAGACCCTAATGTTGAACAAATGGCCGAGATGTGCACTGAAGAGAATCCAATTCCATTGCCAGAGCGCATGGCCAGACATTCGGGGTGCTGGTTCTTGGCCCTGGTCAACAGTGAGCAGGGTGAGGCTCTGACGGGCCTGCTGCAGCCTGGAGCTTCCTGTGGGAAGCCTGAGGCGTTGGTCAGTTCAGATTCTGCAAGCCTGCAGGAGGAAGACTTGGGCAGGGGTAGAATTTCTTAAGACTAGGCTTTTCATGGTGGGGGGAGGGTTGTGGAGGTGAGGGCTGTCGCCAGCAATTCAGTGTTAAAATATTTCAAGACCTGCCTTTGTATTGATAAACAGCTTGTACTTTAGCAGCCCGGTCATTAATAAGGCGCAGCCTCTGAAGGTCAGCCCCGGCAAACCCCTCCCCCCAGGCAGTGTGTGGGGGGAGGGAGTGGTTGTCATGGGCATAGTTTTAATAAAGCAGCAGGGGCCTATTTAAATGCGTTTAAATGAGTTCCCTGGAGTCTGTCATCTGATCCTGTTGCTAACAGATTAAGGGAAGCAACATTTTCCACCCTGGATTGCTTACAGGGCCCGGCCAGGCCCTGACTTCTTCTGGGAGACCAGGGGGACCCCTCTGCTCCCGCCTTACTGCCTCCCGAGGTGGCGTGTTGCGGGTCCCGCCGTGCCGGCCCTGTGCCGTGCCGGCCCTGTGCCGGTGCCCGCCCTGTGCCGTGCCCGCCCTGTGTGGGTGCCTGGCCCTGTGTCGGTGCCGGCTACGCGGCAGCTGACCCTCTGTGCTTCCAGAAGCGCGTGTTGTTCTGTTACTTGGCTTGCAGGACTGCTCCATGGAGGATGCTGATTTAATTTTTTTCTATGGGTCTTTCACTAAGGCCATGAAGGCAGGACCATGGCTGTGTGGCGCTTGCAATGTCCCGGAGGGCAGAACTAACTGAGGAAATGAACTGGGCTCCGTTGGGCCCCTGAGAGTTAGGAAGTGAGGGCAGGGTTTGCGGGGGACCTTATGACCTCACTCTGGGAGCGCTGGCAGGTGTTACCAGGGGAGCAACATCTCAGATCCGGTGCTGGGGGCTAGGAGACCCCTGGTGGCAGCGGAGAGAGGGACAAAGGCCGTGTCCCTTGGCGGCC